TAAAATTACCATTTTATTGATGTACTACACAATGTAGTGTCACACTCTATAATACGTAGTAGTTTTTTATTCAGCTAGAGGGCGATTAAGTAACGCAATGTACAGAAATATTTCTGAATCCCCCATTAAATTACCTTTTCACTGATGTGCCATACATGATACAGTACCTATTTAAAATTAAGGTGTTGGAGAAGTGCAAGGGAGGGGGTTGACACATGACACATGTATTGTAAAAATGTTTTTAATTTGGAATAAAAATCGATCAGTTTTAACATTTTCTTAAAATCCAATGATCAATGCTGAAAAATAGGATGAAACTGTTTTGAGTGACCCACTCTGCATATCAAAAATGGCTTGATTTATCGAATTAGTTCATAGAACAAAATCTACCTAAAAATGCATTTTTTACAAGATGCGCCAAACAAGAAAGGTCCTCCCATCGAAAAAAATTATTGAGCGCAGCGCCATATACATATTGACCTATTTAAAATCAATTTATTTCTAAAACTGAGGCACTCTTAGTGCTCTGTGAACTGGCTTTTACAGAATTACTTACCAACATATCCGGCCTGGGAGTTTTTATCGATACACCCTGTATAACAAAAAGCTTGAGTGTCGGACATAGTCATCATATTAATTATACATAATTTATTTAACAAAAAGCTGACAAAAAATCTAGAAATGTCCACCATTTTCCCACACAAGCCATTTGGTATATAGTATAGCCGTTAGTATAATGAAAGGCATAAGTGTTGAAAATGGAAAATATTTATTTAAAAAAGATCTGTCAAAAAAATGTAGAAATGTTTATGCAGGGTTATTATTTTAAATGAATAATTAAGCATACATTTCCTTCTCGTATAAGTTATAATAACGTTTTATATGGGGATATGGGGATATGGGTCTTCATATTATGCTTTTCATATAAAAAAATATACAATTTATTTAAAAAATATTGGTAATGAATTTATTAATTTTATCGAATAATTTTATACATTTTAAATGTTTATTAACTAAACGCACTTTCAAATGATTGTAAAAATTCAAATATTTCATTTGATTATCTAAATAAATGTATATTGCATTACTTACCAATCAATTTAAAATAACCAATGTAATAAACACCTGTGACTTCAATTTTGTTCAAAACACGTTTAATTATAAAAATAAGAATAATTAATAATGCACAATAATCATTTAATCCGATAATTTGTGTGTTTAAGTCAGTGAAATAATTTGACAATATTTTATTCCTACCAACTCATCAAAAATCATAGGTATATCAACATTTTCTAATCGACTTTAAGAGAATAATTTTTATCTGTTAAAAGATTTATCCCATGACATTCTTGATTGCTTTATTATTTTATATTAATGTAATTCAAATTGTTTTAACAAAGTGTCTATTCCATAGAATACTTGATTGTCATTATTCAATTATAGGATATCTACTTTTTTGTGTTTAATAGCTGCATTATTATTTTATACATACATTAATTTTATAATAATTCAAAAATTGACATATATTTGTAACGAGTCTGTTAATATTATTTAACAGGTAATTTATAGTTTATATTTAATAGCCCTTTAAAAGAATATATAAAGTTCTCTATAAAATAAATATATTGTTACTTCAGCACAAAATTCATATTAAAATTTACACCTTAAATATAAAAAAGATAAATATTACTTTCCTTCAATGTAAAGTTAAAATATTAAGGAAACTTAAAAAAGTATACGAATAATCACCGAACAATAAATAATAATAACCCTGCATAAATATTATTTGTAATTTTTTTATCAGATCTTTTCTAGATAAATAATATGCTCCATGTCCGACACTCAAGCCTTTTGTTATATAGGGGGTTATGATGGACAAGTAATGTTATTTTTAACAGACAGGGTGTTTATAAAATAACAGACCTGTTAAAAATAACACAGGTTGTCAATCATAACCCCCATAGTCTTAGGGTATGGTCCGTTATTAACCGACTACTAACCGCAAGTAATTTAAATAAAATAAGAATCATCACCCAGTATATGATATTTTTGGAGGAGAAAAGTCAAAAAAAGATGACAGATGCTTTTTTTTTTCTGGCCGATGAAAGATCGAAACCAGAGATTGAAATTTTGAGAATTTGAGAATAATAAAATTGATATACCAAAAGTTCCAATTAAGTAAGCAGATTTATATTATCAATTTGTATAGGTATTTACGAGCCCAGATAGATCTTTAAATAAGAAAAATTGGCTGTTATTTGGAATAGCAGCTATAGAACATTGGACTGAAGCTGTATTTTCAACAGACTTGAAAGTTGGAAGTGGTACAGGAGCTAAAAGAAAAAAATAGAACTCTGTGAGTATATTTTATAAACAAAATAAACAGTTAATTGTATTACTCATGAATAATATTCACAAAATTTGTACATATTTGATAAAATATTTGCTTTAATATCAGTGGCGGCTCGTGGGCACTAGCGGCAGTGGGGCATACACTGGAGAGGAATCCCGGGATTCGTTTTTCCCTTAGGAAAACAAGTTCTCCGCTCAGTGAAAATTAAATATATTTCAAAACAATCGGTTGGGGCAATAACAATTTTTGAATGTGACTACAGGGAGCTAAATGTGACCACTCAAACATTACATATCGACTTTTGTTAAATTTGCGTAAATTTCTCAGAAGAATGCAATTTACTTAACAATTCTAACTTGTTAACGCATTTTAAAGCATACGACTATGAAGAAAAGGTGTTTGGCAATTTAAAATCTCCCAGCGAAAAATTTCTCTTTTATATTTTCAAATTAGAAAAAATATTTATATCTCTATTTGACAGTTTGTCAACTAAGCCTGGAGTTTCCAACGCATACCTTTTTGAGATGAGCAAGATAGAATTTGGTCATACTTGCCAACAATTTGCGAAAATGAACATCATTAAATTGTTTATAAGACTCAGAATTTTTTATACTCTTAAATATGCAAACAGAGATTTGAAATCCTCGAAAAAATCAGACAAAACCAAAAGAAAAATTAAAATGTTGTGCCATTTATAAATATTATTGATTTTTGACTGCTTTATAAAAAAAAGTTATATTTCTTTGTAGTTTCATTTCTTAACTATTCCAATGGTCCATCTAACGTTTTTTCGTAATCACAATAAATAAATTAATATCATGGTCCAACAAATTCGCACCTTAAGCCGAAACCGGTAAAGATGACGCTGCGTACATTCGTATCTGGTCTAGGTAATCTGTGCCATGGGTACAGCACGTCACGATAAGGACAGCGCCCCGCTTGTGACGTATAATCCATCGCATGTGTTCATCTCTTGCTATGCGATATTGTCGTTGTCCTTGTTTTTCGCATCATAATGAGAGGAAAAACAACAGAAGCACACATTTACTGTGCCCATCTTCCACTTAATTTCGGAATTCTCGAAACGTCGCTCAACGCCCGGTCGTCCAGTGTCGTGCCAACGCGGTTTGTGCTGAACATTAGATAAAATAATAATAGGCATTGAGGAAAATATAAAATATGTAAGTTTTTTTTTTTTGTTTATTATACTAGGACACGTGCCCAAGTACCCATACGGGCAAACCGCCACTGTTTAATATATTTAGAAAAGAAACTAAAATTCATATTTGGTAATTTCTAAAATTTAACTATAGTTATTTTGATAAATAATACATATAAGTCATATGTCAATCAGAAACGAAGTAATAATCGATTCATAAAAAGGATGGAATTCTAACTACAATAGGTAACAGTTTTGTATCCCGCTAGCGGGCGTTAAAATCAAAAGTAATGCCGTAAACAGTCATATTGCCGAATTCTCTTTAAAAATATCTTTCCCTATTTAAATTGCATTGGTTAGAGTAACGGAGTGGAGGGGAATGACGTATGTCAGTTAATATGATAACGATATGTCCTTCTACAAACTAAAATCCATCTGTCCGAGCATTTTTTAACATCCTCGATATTAATATCCTAAACCACATGTCTAGTTTTCGTTAGGTCACCTTGTATATAGAAAGTATTAAAGAAAATTAACTCATAAATAATAACATTTAAACAAAATATAAATTCAATATATCGATCCCATATTATTAATAACGTAATACTGAATAAATAGTTTTGAAAACTATTAAAACCAGTTGTGAAGTTTGAAACCAATAAATTGGTAATGAAATTGATATTTTTTTATTTGATTGTATGTTACTCGTTCCACTTCCTGTAAAAAGATTCCACATAAAACAAGAAATAGTAAACCCTTTACAATAAAAATCTTTATCCAACTTGCAACTTCTAATATGTGCCAACGACCAAGTCCGGTTCTGTTTATTTTCAAATAAATAAATATGACCGTCGATAGAATCTTTAAAAATTAAATAACTTACCGAAATAAAAGTAAGTTTCCTTTATCAGCATCACAATTTGCACATTTATTATAAATACAGTTTTTTACAGCACATCTTGGCATTTCCAAAATTTACGTCACTAAAATACCAAATTAATTATCGGTGACACATTTAGTTTGGACGAAATACTCTCTGACATGTTGCTTCCTCAACTGTGATTGGTCGGTGTGAATAATTTCGAGATTATCAGTTTTAAATCCAATTTCATCTAATTTATTCATGAAACAAGTAAACATAAACCGAATTTTTTTATTTGTCTTTGTTGACAACTAATGTCAATAAATCACGAATTATTCTTTCTCGTTTCTTCGTTCCTCGATGGAAAGTTATCAAGAAAATAAATTTCTACCGCTGGAAATTGAAGAAGCTGCCAGTAAAGCTGCTTTTGAATTATTGCCTAGTAGGTCAAAGCAACAGTACGAGTTTTCATACGATCGTTTCTTGAAATAGTGTGATCAGAAAAATGTTAGTGGCACGGAGGCCAGTGAAAAAGTACTTCTTGCATACTTTGAAGAAAAGTCCAAAATAAATAAATCGTCAACGCTTTGGTCGAATTACTCTATGTTAAAGTAGATGATAACATCATGACGTAAGTAGATATTACAAGCTTGTTTGTGGCTTTTTTGAGTTTCTCATTATAATTGTAGTTTCACTAATTGTAAGTTTAATTGAATAAACACTAGTGCTAAAAGTGATTTACTTTTAACACCAGTGTCATAAAATGGCATTTTAGACACTGAGATTAAACTTTTACTGACGTTTGTAGAAAAAAGCTTTTCTGTTTTTTTTATTGCAACCATTTTCAAAATCTTTTTGATGCGCAAGAATTAACAAAACGATGTACAATAAATTTATTCACAGTTTCTGTGGTCGAAAGTAGGTCGATTTAAGCTAACTTGCTTATATAAAAAATTGGATAGTAAAACACTTACAGGATGTTAGATATTAGAAGAGAGTTATATGTTAGAAGTTGAATAAAGTTATAAAAAATAATAAAATCAGGAAGTTTAAATAAAAATTAAGAGTTATAGCAGTAGGCAGGAGAATAGGAGGTATCGAAAGCCAGGAGTTGGAGATATAGAACAGCAGGAATTGGAACCGGGAGAGAGTAAAGAAGATCGGAAGATTGTTATATTATATAATAATTCAAAATTTATATTTATGAATTCATTTTTATTCATACTTATTGTAGATAAGCACTGAAGATGGCTTGATACCGAAAAATTATTTGATAATTTTAATAAATTTTGTACGAAATACAATACATTAGTAAATAGTATTATATTTGCATGTTATAATCCAAAGTTTTAAAATTAATTCTTTGGAAGAAAATGTAACTTTATCCGATAAAATGTTAAAAGAAAACTTTAGCAGAAACCCTATTTTAAAAAACAACAGCTACCAATTAACAATACAGAAAGTGAATTAATGTGAGCAAATCAACCGAAAAGCGAAGGTTTTAGCCCTAAACCGAAAATTGCCATCGACTTTTAAAGACTTTCAACACCCATCGAAAGCCAAATGCCACATCCTGCCTACAAACCAACTAAACGACTAATCCATTAAAAAAATCTCTCTCTGCCTACACCTATGTCCTGCATTTAACAGTTTTATCGGCCGTTCGATCTAAATTTGTGTCAAAAGCATTTAGGCTCATTGTTACCGAACTTACACATGTTGAAATTGTAAATAGATGCGATAAAATAAAATAGATGGATCCGAAAAAAGTGCCTTTATTCTTGCCACTCGAAGCGCGAACGCTCGTTTTCATTTAGAATAAATTGTGTCACCCGCATTTGTGTTTCGTTACCCACGTATATAAAAGGCCCATTTAAGTTGTCACATTTAAATGTACCTTGTTTTCTATACAAGATAATTGAAAATTACTAAATTGGTCAACGATTTTCTCTTCGAACGTTTTTTTTTTGAGCAAGGCGCAGGCGGTCGGTGCGTAATTATGTTTTTATTTTTCAGGAAGTTTGTGAGCAGAATATATAAACAGTTTTTAACCCTATAGTGATAATAAGAAATAAAATTTTATTGTTTGTAACACCCTTATTGACCAATAATACTAACACGCTTCGTATAAATTTATATTTTTTCCTAATTTTAATAATAATAATAATAATATTTATTCAAGAATAATACAAGTTACAAAGTAATAGAAATAACAATTTCAAATAAATAAATATTAATACTCAATAAGTGCCAATAAGGCACTTATTTTGAGAACAAATATAAATATATACATATAAAATAAAATTAATGCATTATAGAAAAAATATATACATATATATTTTAGATATTTTATATAAGAGACAAAGGGGTCTATTCTGTAAAAATTCCTTTATATTTAACGGCCTTTAAAAATATTTTCTTCTTTAATTCGGTCACCATTTAAACGGATCTTTAAAATACATTAGAGGACTATCTTAAAGAAATCTGTTTAAATAATGATAGAAGTAAATTAACGAATACAAATATACTTTTAAAGGCCGCCAATATTTTTAAAGGCCGTTAAATATAAAGGAATTGTTACAGAATAGACCCCAAACACAACCAAAATAATCTACATTTAATTAAAAATAATCGAAACGTTGATCATACAAAATGCAAATAAATATCAGTTATTTGAAAGAATATTATTTATTACGTCCTTTTTTCATTTTTGATAATTTTTTTTAAATTATTTTTAAATATGGACAAGGTATTAAATTTTATGTGTCGACTGGGAGGGTATTATATAATTTTGGACCTAGATACAAATACGATCGTTGTCCTACTGATTTCTGAGTACGAGGCTTAGTATGGAGATGTTGTATCCTTGTGCTATGTGCAATGAGTTTGAAGGATACCTGTAGGGCCCTTTAAGTATTATTTTTAAGAATCTGTTTTGCATAACTTCAAGTGGTTGTAACTGTTTTTATGAAGTACAACCCCACACAATGATGGCATATCTCAAATGATTTTCTACTAAGCTATGATAAAAGATTTTAAGTTGGTGTGGAGGTAGATATTCTCTTATATTTTTAAATTTATATATTGTCATTCTTAATTTTTGGCATATTTAAAAGTTATGTTTTCTCTCCATTTGACATATATATATATATATATCCATGTAAACCTCTAGATATTTTATCTTGTTTTCAGGGAGAATGGTAAGTGTTGGCCCAGAAACAGTAAAAGTTAATTTGTTAAAAGGAGGTCTTGTTATAATAATATTACTAAATGGTAAGTAGTGGGTTTATTAATTATTTAAATAACATGCTGTACATAAAATTTTGTTTAATTTTGTCAACAATTTGTTCTGATTTGCAATCATGTGCAAGTTTGATTATTTAATAATTATTACCTAAACATTAGTTTCATAACAATAAACTATGGAGGAGTTATAAAGGTAAGTATACGTATACGTATACGCTCACCTGCCTGGACCTTTAGGAAATATTTCGTTTTCCCTTTTTCGAAAAAAAGGTAAGTTTTTCTTGTTTTTCTCCATGAGGCCGCGCCAGTTCTCTCTTATTATTTAGCAAGTCATTTTAGAATAATGTTTTGGGTAATTTGGATGTTTTATTTAATACCGGTTTTGCCTTTTTTTAAAGTAATTTTGGTAGCTTGAAGGGCTGTGAAACTTGGTAAGTAAATTTAAATTTTGGGAAAAGGTTTAGAAAAATTGTTCGTTTTATTTTGAACTAGCCAGACCTATCATGACACGGTTTTTTCTTGGCTAATTTTAGGGACGTCCACCCCACCACCACGACGACCAACATCTGTTTGGCAGAGCTGGTAAATTTTGGTATCCATGCAGCTGTAGTGCAGAAAAGCGAGGGATTTCCTCTGTTGCCTTCTTCAGATTTAGTTATGGCTGGAGAGTTACGGGCTTCCTTTGGAATGATGTGTCTGTGTCCTGATTTAGGATGTAATTTTGCCGACGTCGCCGGATCTATCCATATGACTGGTGAACAGGTTATGTGGAATTAAATTTATTATTTATTGCGCCGATTTATTAATTTTTTTATTATCTATGCTTTGTTTATATTATCTTATATCCTACTTATTGTTTTTGGTGCATTATTCAAGGGAACTTGACTGTAGTCTGGTGGGATATTATTGTTGAAGCCAGTATTTGACCAATACTGCAGTTGGGTCTCGCCGTTTGATATTTGGTACAGACTGGAGCCAGTTTCTCTTTTTTTTTTAATTATTATTCATTCTGTTTAACGGGGGGAGAATACTTATTGTAAGATACATTCGGGCTCATGCGCAGTGTGGGGCTATTGTTCCCTGGGATTTTACTTGGGTATATGTACCTTAATCTTACCTCTTACCTTTACAGATTGTAAAGCGGAAATTAATTTTTAACATTTATTGCCATCCTGTTTTTGTGAGAAACTGATTCTCACGCATCGTCGCTTTTGGTACCAAACGCTAACGACCATATTTATAATTTTAGTACATTTATCTCCTTTAATCTCCGCTACTGTTGGAAATATCACTACGTGATATTGATTTGGGTATTTTTTTTGTGTCATCGGCTTCAACTGCTAAGGTTATTTCGCCTCGTGGTCTGTGTAGGCTTTGTTACTGTTTCCCAGCGCCACTTTAGGAACAGCACTGTTAATTAGAACCCAACAGTGAATGGTCCAGTGGGGAATCCTACCAAGGCATCAGAATTAATTTTAAATAATTAAATTAAATGAAAAAATTCCGGCCAACGGTGGGATTCGAACCTGAGACCTTCCGATCTCAGTCATGACTCTAACCACTGAGCCAACCCACCCGATTTGGGTATTAATATTACTTTAACTAATTTTTATCAGAGGGTAGAATACTTAAATTAAATATTTTTGATAGTGGGATATTTTGATATTGGGATCGTTGGATACCTTAATATTTAGCTACTTTAAGGTGTTAATACTTTAATATTAAGCTACTTTAAGGTGTTAATACTTTAATATTAAGCTACCTTAGGCTTTTGATACATTTAATGTTTTTGATACTTTAATATTTTGATACTTTAATATTTTAAGTTACTTCAATATTTTGATACTTCAATATTTTGATGTCGGATATTTTCTTTTTTTTAAAGGATATTTTTTGGGTTATAATTTGTAGGTTACCAACCTCACTTGGTTTGGTTACCTGATTGATGATTACTTATTTTTGTTTTGTGTACACTTTTCAACTCTTTTTAATAAATAGGTGTATTTTTGGAGTTTGTCCTTTTCTTTACTCGACTTTGTTGACTTGCACGGTAAATTTGGTTCTGAATAAAGGGGGGATTGAATTCAACTGACGCCCAAGAAGAATTGATCAACTTTAGTAGAAATTAACCCACTCCCGTCTCCACATGAGTGACCCGATAGGCAAAAGATTGTGATCGACAGTCCACCGTACATTGTAGCCCGTTGTTTAATGGATGTCTTGCACAATGCCTTAGCAACTCCATAGAAGAGTTCGGGGCCTGGTACCCAGGCTAAGGTCACTTTGTGTTGACTACTTAGCACTGTCAGGTCTTCTAGGCAGTCTTTTACCTGTCGTGATTTTTATTCTGGTGAAAGAATTGCCTTTAGAGCTGCTTGGCTATCAGAGTAGATATTATCAATAGTTTTGCCTAACTTGCTGAATGATTATTTCTCTCGCGCAGTATTGTATGGTTATTAGTTCGGCCTGGAACCCTCTTGTGTATTCCTCGACTCAACGAAATCGTTGTTTTCGAGTCCAAATATTCCAGCACCGACACCTTAGGTTTTAAACTGTCTGTATACTATTTTTTTACAATTTACCTAATTTATATTTATTGTTTCAAAATATATAGATATGGTCATTACTACGGAACTTCACTTTAATTTAAAAATGGATTATATTAAAATTATAATATCAAAAAAGTAATTTTTAATAATTATTTCTGTACAGTTATAAATATAATTTGTCAAAATGGCTTTGTATAGAGCTTATCTGTTGTCTACATCTACTGAATATCCATGTTTTCATTGTGACGATCTAAGTTACTTTCAATTTATTTTATCTGTCCAATTTAAAGCATTTCCAGGAAATTTCTGCTCCTAATATATTTCTCCCGTATGCATTTTCGAGAAAGACCTTACTTCCAAACCGTACATTATCGTCCTAACAAACATGAATATGTAAGATCCGTCTCTCAGACAAAAACTCGACTAGTCCTCAGGACTCAAAATATATCGTGTGTTTTTCTGCACGACGTAATATGCATGATTGTGACTGTATGTCCGTTGTCCGTAAACGGAAAATATATCATATTGTTCCACCATAGAATCCGATTACATTAAGAAGAACTCCGCTCCATTATAACTATAGTTCAAATAATATATATTATCTATAACTATCAATAAATAAAGAAAAAGTAAATTGTTTGGTATAAAAACATATATCCTATATTCTTATAATATTTACACGTCACTTAACCTCCAGTAGGCGGCGATGGTCAATGAATTACTTTGTCAAATGATGACGTAGCGGTGTTCTTCTATTTGTAATCGGACCCTACTCGTAGTATAAATATCATTCAGCCCATTGCTTTTATTTTAATTTGAATTTTAGAAAATCTTCAGTTTTTTATTAGAAAATGCCAATAGAAAATACTTAAGTCTAAAAATATGATATCCTAATTACTATCCAGCAGAGCTGGAACGAATTCTCAAAAAATTGATTCGAATCACGAATCCAAATCACGAGATGTGATTCAAATCACGGATCCTATGCCCGAATCAAGTGATTCGAATCCATTTTTTCGGATCACGGATACGAATCACTGTCAGCGTCATACCATGGTATTATGCATGCTTTCGAATACAATATCAGTATCAACTATGACTTGCATACAAATGGTTGATACGAGATGTTGAAAAGAATAAACTTAATTTTTTTTCTTCTATAAATATGAACCATAAATAAATTAGAATCTATAAAAATATATTTTATTTTAATACAAAAAACAAAATAAACAAACAATGAAATAAAAATGTCTTTTGGTTGGCCTTACATAGCACCTAAATTTCGAGGTGCGTCGATTATACCTGCAAACAAAAATAATCGTTAGACTGCACCAGATGAAGGAAGGCAATTGTTAAATTTTAGGATTTTTTTATGTTGGATATTCATTACTAATTTGTGATGTCAAAGAAGGCAGCAGAGCACCTAGGCAATTTTGAGTTGAAACCTATGCCATATATTTAGGCTATTTTAAAGCTATTTGTATGCTACTGGTTTTTTTTTGCAAAAATCAAGGTGCTCTGCTAGCTTCGAACTAGGCCAGCAAAGCACCTCTTTTTCAATAAAGCACCATGTATTTTTTAAAAAACACTATTTTTTTCGAAAAGTTTTATAATATTTTAAGAGCCTAAAAATAGCTCAAACATGTGACATAAGTAGATGTTTCCAGAAAAAAAAAAATAAACTGCTAGTGCTAACTTTATTCCAGGAAAATAGCAATTTTTAGTAAAGTTTTAAAATATTTCAAGAGCATAAAAATGGTCTAAAAATGCGGTGTGATTGTTTTTAGAAAAAAGCTTTAAATAACCGAGGTGCTCTGCTGGCTTCGTTCGAAGCTAGCAAAGAACCTTGATTTTTGTAAAAAAACGAAGAGCATAAAATTTTTGAATAGGGTATAAATATAGCCTTAAAATAGCCTAAAATTATGACATAGGTTTCAACTCAAAATTGTCTAGGTGTGCTGCCTTCTTTGAATTAATTTGTAGATTCTTACGTTTATCTTCTAAATATTAACAATCGGTCTTCAGTCTGTCTGTTTCAGTTTACACTTCGCGACAAGTCAAAGCGTGAGTCAACTGTTCGCGCCAGCGTAGTTTGGTCTCTCTCTCTCTCTCTCTCTCGAGACTAATATCGGTGATTCGAATACGAATCCTTAAGAATTTCTTTGGCGAATCCGGATCACGGATCCTTTTTTTTTAAGTATTCGAATACCGCTCGCGGATTCTCGAAAAGGATTCGAATCCAGGATTCGAATCCTATGTGATTCGAATCCTCCCCAGCTCTGCTATCCAGACAGCATACGACGTCCATTGGACGTGCATATTTTGTCTTGAATGTCCATGAACTTCATATGGATATCCATTGGATATCTATTTTCCGTTATTCCAATGAATATACCTATCCATAAGTACAATAGATGTTCATGATCCATGATGGACACTATACAAATGACAATCTTAATTTTACTAGACATTTTGCAGATTAAAAAACTGTGTTTGTCTTATAGTAAGATATAGATTATTTTAATATAATTTATAATATTATATAGACATAATAAATTATTACTATCGAAGAAGAAGAAAATAAAAAAGAGGTTAAGAACGGCCCACGAGTTCGAGTTTGGATAGTTTGTTATCTGGTAAGAAAATAAATAGAGATATCGGCCAAGCACCAATACCGTCATACGCTAATTGCGGACGGTATTTTTTGGCATATACGCATGCGTAGATCAAAATATTTACCAAATTACCCCATTACCGTTATCTCAAAATGCTAATTCCGTAAGTTTGCGGAAGAGATTGATGAAATAAAAGGGAAGCCGAATGTATCCGAATTTAATAACATCCATAGGGGTCTATTCTGTAACAATTCCTTTATATTTAACGGCCTTTAAAAATATTGGCGACCTTTAAAAATATGTTTGTATTCGTTAATTTACTTCTGTCCTTATTTAAACAGATTTCTTTTAGATAGTCCTCTAATGTATTTTAAAGATCCGTTTAAATAGTGACCGAATTAAAGAAGAAAATATTTTTAAAGGCCGTTAAATATAAAGGAATTTTTACAGAATAGACCCCATAGTCATTTGAGGCGGTTTCCCGGTTTCTTGTTTCTGTTTTGGTTTGGCTTTGCCTGTTTGTTTGTACTAATTTTAAAATGTTAGTGGAAATTTGAACATTTTATTGTTTTTGTAGTTTTTTAAAGTACACTGGAAA